CTTATAGGATGATCCAGGCAGGTTGCTGAAATGACTGAGGGTGGGCAAACAGAAGGTAGTGGGAGAGACATAGACAGTGGTGTCGCCTGAAGGGAGCCACCCTCCTCCGCTCTGGCTTGTCTTTGCCGCGGTGAGAGCAGAAGCCTGGCCTTGTATCACCATCCATATTATTGAAAGGAGTTTGAAATCTGTATCTTAGCTTAATATGGTGTTTTTCATTTTTTGAGATGGAATTTCAATCTTAATGTAAAAACTTTCACTTTTAGTTACCAAGTATGAATTTTAAAAATTATGGGCCACATAAAATATGTCTGTGGACTAAATAACACCTACAGACCATCAATTTGTGACCTCTGGTATATATGTAAGTTCTGTATTACAGAGTATTGAGTCCATGTGTGCAGTTTCATGAAGACTAGAGTTCTGTCCTAAGAGAAATTCAGCATTTTGTGTTGGAACTGGTCTTTCTTCCATTTACCCTGGAAAAGATTACTATATTGTTCCGTAAGTTCCCTGTTAGTGAGGGAGAACTAAGTATCAGGGTTTTCTCTCTCTGGGAAGAAAAACTGGGGCCCTAGTAGTAATAGCTGACCTCCTGATGTGGGGCCACTAGAGGTTCAGAACGGTGGACCCGAGCTGCCAGGTTTGGGAGCTGTGTACCCATTTGGAAATGGCAACATTCTTTGTAAGCAGAAGCAATTACAGTATCCTCCGTGTGTCTGACACGTGTCTGTAGGTCTTCACAGATTCTCCAATGCTCTTGCCAGGACATATCCTCCACCTGATACAGTAAATCAGTAAAGAGGGAGAAGGTGCTACCAGTCCAGTTGGTACACTGAAGATGAGTGCTTGATTCTAAATGCCAGTAAAACTTTGTCACTGTTTAACTCCTTAAAGGAGGAAGAACAGTAAACTCACTCATTTTTCATTTGTCACCTGTACAAAAATGACTTGTAAGACTCATTTTGCAACCATGAAAACTAAGAGAGGTTTGGAAGGTATAAATGGTACCTCTTAAGGGAGACTAGCAACCTGATTTTATTGGGTGTATTTCTATAGAAATGCTCCACACTAATGAATACATCAAAAACCATACTTTATTTTTAATGTATAGCAATACAATTTACATATTAAATAACACTATAATAGAATGATTTGATATAGTCTTAAACAGAAGAAAAAAGGGAAAAATTTCAGGTTATAAAACCCCTCCCCCCTGACAAATGAAAAAAACCCCACTTTTTCCAAATGGGTCAATGCAACGAATGTATTCAGTGACTAATTATGTCTAATTCCTATTGCACAAATGGTCAATGGAATTTAAAAAGAAAATACGGCTTTCACAATCACTGCCTCAAAGAAATAACACATGTTTGATTCTTTTGGAATGCAAAGATGGCTCTTGGTTACTTCAAAACACAGAAAGTCAAATTCACATATCCACCACGGGGAAAAAAAAACACACACACACACACACAAAACTATGACTGAGTTGAAACTAGAAAAAAATTAGCTTTATATGAAAATATAAAATTCTATGATTATATACCATAGATACAAAGTTCCCAGAAGATGCTTACCCAAGCAACAAAATATTTACAGTTTTAACGGTTTTAGCTATTTCTGAATGAAGTGAAAGAAATGAATCAACACGAAAGCTGAGTTTTTAGAAACAATGGCTGCTTGCTAGTTCCAAATACCCTAACAAAAAAAACGAGTCACTACCCCAAATGTTGGAGAGTTGTGACATTTTATAAAATCAGCTGTCTCCTTTCCTGGAGATGTTTATTTCTTAAAACTCAAGATATTTTTCTTGAAATTAATTGTCCTCTGTAGAAAATGCTTCCCTTTGCAAATATTTAACAAAAATACTAAAAACAGTTTAACAGCTAAGACAAAGTAGAGGCCAAATATCATTGTTACAGTTCCTTCTTATTGGTAGCATGTCTTCTATGTAAGTAAAGCCAGTGTCATATGTTAAATGGCAACTAAGGGAAAGCACAAAGGGGTTAGTGAAATTACAGCCTTTAAGGAAAAAAAAAACGCAGGCATTTTCCCTTCATATAAAAATTCACTGGCACCATTTGAATATAAACTTCAGAACAAAGGAGTTGAAATGCATTGTCTAGTATAACTGCTAAAATCTTAAGACAGAGTACATTTTGATTATATTTCTTAAATTATGATGTTTGGGCTTTTTTTACTTTTTTGCTTAGAATTAGTAATATGTGTCTTTGGTAAATTGTTATCTATATTTTAATTTTTAAATACAGTATATATGCATTTAAGAAAAAACTCATAACAAGGCAGTTGTGCTGTGTCATTATAAAATAATTAAGGTTATTTGTTGATCCCAGTAAGTCATTCTGGGCTAAGAACTCTTTAACAGCCAGGCCTTGAACACCATAACCTTCTCTGACCTTACTGGGCTCTTCAGTTTGAAACAGACTGTAAAAACTCCCAAGACATAAACATTGAGGAAAATCCATTTAATCTTACACATGTTGGCATTCAGAAGTTATTTTTTTTTAATATATGAGAAGATTTTGTGGGTATTAGATGCAAGAAAGAATTCTGATGGCAATGAGGTGTTGTCTTTGATGCCCAGCACTGCCACTTAGTGTGATCTTTGCAATTCAGATTAGTATGATGTGTGCATTCTGTTCACCTAGCACTGAATCTATATACCCAATACACTTATTTTATTAAAAAGCACATTAATTTATGATAGCTATGTCCTTTCCTGAGTGCCAAGTGCTAATAACCTTCTTAGTGTAGCTAAGCAATATGCTTATGTCGCACAGAAAACACCATCTTTGGAACTCTCTGCCTCTGGGAAGAGGCACACAGTTCTGTCGATGCAGGGTGACAGTGAGGATTCACTCTGTGGTGACACTGAGGAACTGTGAATGTGACCGTCCCCAGTAAAGGGGGTTTGGACCACTTTGGCAAGATGGGCAAATAGCAGTTGCTCATAGCTCAGTGAGTCAGGATTTGAGGATGTTGGTTCAAGCCTGCTTAGACACACAGCTGCTCTTAGAGAACTTCTAAACCATCCTTGTAGTGCTTCTATTTTCTAGCTGTTTCTTTATTACCATGACTCTGGTACCCATGTAAGAGCTGGTCAAGAAATGAGTTGGAGGGTGTGCCTTTTCATGGCTTGAGCCCTCTGTAAATAGCACAGAAGGAAATACTCGCTATGTGTCTTCTAACCAATGTTTACTTGTATTAAGAAAAAAAACTGAGGGACCCTGACCCTGACCTAGCATTACTTCGGAAAGTCAAATCCATTTTGCCAACTACCAAAAAGAGTTAGTTCCTGTCAACAGTCTCTACTAAAGTAACCTACGTCATTGAATAAAACAATCTAGCCCTTGCCAGGATCTGAAATCTTCCTTCTTGAGTCCCCTCAGCCTCCTGGCACTTATACAGTGTTTCAGTGTTCAAGCTTTGAAAAAAAAGAAGTTAGGTAACGCTTCTAGTGCTCTGAAAGGAGCAGAGGGCCTATAAAGTGCCTGTCACCTAGTGCTTACGTTTTTAGCAAACTTTGTTCACTTGCACATCTTTCCTCCAGCCTAGGCTGCAGTTTGTGAATAGCACACCGTTCCATGTTGCTGAATCTGTGTGATGAAAAGATGAAGTTAACCCTGGCAAGTGTGTAGTTCATGAAAACGCTGTTGTCCTGGCCTGTACCCTCTCCCCTTAGCAGTTTTGGTCCTTCAGCACCACTTTGACAAATTTCATAGAAAGTCAACTTAAGATAAACAGAACCTCATTATAAATAGTCATTATCATTAATGTTTTAATGTCTACTAAGATACTATGATAGTAGCCAGTATGGACTCTTGTTGAAATGTGTGGACATCAGGTATAACCAAAACTCTTTTCTTCTTAACAGGCCCAATTCTGGTGAATGATTTCCTTCTGACAGAAGTTGTCCCTCAAAAGCAAATGTGCAATAAATGAAACAGATCTCAGTAAGTAGCTAATTTTTTTAACTTACTGAAATTTCTTCCTAATGCTCGCAGTTTTCCCATTATACACTGCAGGGTGCATATGGCTCCAGAGGCTAGACCGGCCACGTCCTTGGGCCCTTGTGTAATGATGATTGGCCTCTTCTACTGAAGTGTATCTGTTCTTGAGACTAAGCTACTTAAATGCACAGACAGCCATCTCTTTGTTTTAAAAACATTTGTAATTGTTGGTATCACCTTTTATTCAAGATTCTAATTTTCTCTCTCCAAATCAGATTTATCTATATGTGGAATCTAGACAGTCCCAAGCCTTTTGCTAATCCAGTATTTTCAAATTAATCTAAGTAGAAGAATGTGTGCAATTATGGGATTTATCAGGAAACACTTGGCAAAAAAGGAAAGAAAAGAATATTAACTCTATAGGTAGTTTTTATTAGATCACTATATGAGTAATAGGGACATTTTTGAGGACTAGGTTTAAAAACACACCTGCAAAATTTTTCAGTATTCCACCTGCTGTGAAGTGCACTTACTACTATAAACCGAGAAGCATTAATGGAGAGACACTAAAAGGGTTTCATAACTGAGATGTGAAAAATATTGCCATCTCTCTATTGTAAAAGATAGTCTGATTTTAGGGTGTAGGTGTTTCAGAGTCAAAATGGAAATAACACACACTGTCCACATACCTACTGTGAAAACTGTAATACAGAGATATCCTTTATTTTGACACAATTGGGCATTTTTTTAAGCTATGAATATAATTTTAACTAATAAGTGATGTTCACATGAACCAACTCTTACGCCTTCTAATTTCTTAATGGATGGATGTCTTCACCACCATAAATGGAACTGTTTCTAGGCCATGAGGTTGACAGACCTTCTTATGAGTTCCCAATAACCTGCTATTTCATAAAAAGAGAACAGTGCCACTGCAACTCCATGTCAGTATGGAAGGCGTCCAGTGCTGAACAGAGCCAAACAGAAGCAGGAGAGGGGGACTCGATGAAAAGCTCAGCACTGCCTGCTAGCCGAGTGCAACTACTTAGCGATAATAATAATAATAATAATAATAAAAAAAAAATCAAGATTCACTGTCCTAACAAAGACCTTCACTTGTACTTAACTGAAAAGTAGCATGTGTGTTGTCATGGAATGTCACGTCAGGTTTGCTTTAGTATTAGGTTATAGGCAGTAACACTGATCAGATAGTGCAAACTAGGTCAGATTGGGTTTTTCACTGTGTGAAATAAAGAGAGGTGCAAATGCTCAGTAGGATACCATTAAGACATAAAATGACAAAAAATAAATATCAAAACTTTTATCAGTGTAAAAAAGTAACTGGGTTATTGTATAACCTAGAGTCTGGCAAAAAAGGCCTCAAAAAAGTTCTCAGTCTTCAGAAGTTTTACAAAGTAAGTGCCCCTTCAGAATTCCGATCACACGAGAGATTCCATGCTCTCAGCGGGGTCCGATTCATCTGCAAGTAGAACAGCACCGTTTTTATCCATTGCCATGGGACCATTTCCATTTTCTTTAGTGCTGACCAAGCTGAGCATTGCTTTATAGACAAACTGGTATTGTTCCTGAAAAAGAGGAGGAAGATGGTTTGAGACCAAGAGAACAGCAAAGTCACGTAGCCTAAGGTGGAAATACTAATTCAAAAAATATTTGTGAAAAACATACAGAACAGGTATACAGGTATACACATATATTAATGCTAAGAAACTTTTAAGAAAAAAGTCACCTGAATCCTTTAAAATCAAGATGTATGCCTTGTTCCTGTCCTTGACAGCTCTATTAGCTTGGAACTGATTCTCAGTGTTGACTGAATTAAAATACTAGAATATCAGTATAACTAGAGGGCACTACACTCTAGAATCAATTTCTCAGCCTCAGCACTGCTGTTATTTTGGGTCCAATCCTTGTGTAGAGGGCTGTCTGATGCAAAGGGAGCCGCCCAGAAACACACCTGGGCCCGACGCACTAGATGCCACAGCATTGCTGTCCATCTCCAGTTCTCATGACCAAAAAAGAGTCTCCAGACATTGCCAAACATGCCCTGGGGGGCAAAGTCACCCCCAGTTGAAAACTACTGCCATAAAGTGTGAGCCTGAGTTTCACCTGCCGTTGTACAGGCTTCACAAGTAAGAAGAGTACTTACAATGTCTGTGAATACTCCAGGCCTCATAAGATTGATCATTTTTGCAACCTGGAAAACATCCACAGCATTTTCATTTTCCAGTTGCTGAGACAGGGTGGTGAGGGCACACAGCATTCCTGCGGAAACTGCTCCGTACCTTGGAGAGGAAACAAAAATGCTCTTTCAGATTTACTACGGGACTGAATATATTAGATTGAAATTACCATTACTCTTTATAGAGGCTAAGTACACTGTATATGAAAGCACAAAAATGACTGAAATGCTGGGAAGGAGAGAGATTTAGTAGCTAGCATAAAGGCGACATGTATTTATGAATAGTAAATCTTCCAAACTGGCTTATCAGATGCTTAGCTTGATGGTCAATATGAGCTGAGAGGTTCAAAATTAGACTTGGGAGGGCTATAGATGATTGGGTGTGGAGTGATACAGTAAGAAAGATACACAAACTGTAACTACAAGCTATCAGACAAATAGAAAGTGGTGAAAAATTTTTTTCACGATCCCAACCACCTAAATTGAACTTAGAAAATAGGAATAAAAATGGAAATAATATAGTTCAAAATGCAGTCAGAGCATTTTCAAGATGAATTTCATAGTAAGTAATGATTTTTGGCACTGAAGTGTAGACATTCAGTCTTAGAAGGGTAGACATTTTCATCAGGCCAGGTTGGCAACTCCATTTTTTGTAGGAACCTGTGATGACACATAGTTTCCTTACTAGTAATGAGAAAATACATGAATTAAATGAATTGTTCAAGGCGGTGGTACTGGTTGGTGGTAGAACTGAGACTAGAATTTAGATGCCTTATGCCTACTGTTCTGTTGAAAACTATTAAATATGCAGCTTCTGAATTCTTCTATGAAATTAACACATTATAGATGCCGTATATCTTAAATACAAGTAAGGCCAAAGTATCCCCCTAGCCACTACCCCAACTTTAGAGGTAACCTATTATAGATGTGATAATTGTTAGATATTTATGTGTAGCTTTCTTGATTTAGGTGTATCAGTACATTGCAATCCAACTCATTATTCCGTCCTCTACAGGCATGCTGGACTTCTCTATGGACAGACATTCAGGTTATTTCTTCTGCACATTAGTAGAGGTGCCATGAGTGGAAGAGCTAAGTCACAGGTATGCCCATTTTTAGTTTTAAAGATAATTCCATACTTCTCTCCTAAGTGGTTTTTATCTGTTCATACTCTGCCTGACATGAGAATACTTGTTTTCCCTCATTTTAAAGTTTAAATGCATTTGTCAACCTGATGGGTGAAACATTGTATTTTATTATTGTTTTTATTTGCATTTCCTTGATGACTAAGGAAGTTGAATATCTTTTTATGTTTATTGGCCATCGTATTTCCTCTTCTGAAATTGCCTATTAATATAGCTTGGCTTTTTTTTTATAAGTTTCTTTCAGGTGAATTTTTATAGGAGATCTTTATTATCTGTTGTACATGTTGCAAGTTTTTTTTTTCAATCTCTAGTTGCTCTTACTATTATTTGCAGTCTTTCTAATACTGTAATTTAGATGCATTTGAATCTTGTTTGAGAATGCTCTCCCTAACCCTGTATTTAAAAAAGAATTCTGTATTTTTCTAGTTTTATTTTGTACATTTAATTCATTTGAAACTTTTTCTGGTTTTGATGTCAGGGGTCTGATTTTAGTTATTTTTCCAATGGATAATCACTTGTCCTAGCATTTTTTTATTGAATAGGCTCATCTTTTCTCATTGATTCGAGCTTCCTTTTTATCATATAGTAAATTCTCATATATGCAGGCCTGTTTGTGAACTCTGTTTTAGCCTGTTCATCTGTTTTTTGTATTTCTCCACATTTGTTTGAAATCTTGATATCTGCTAACGCAAGTTTCCACAGTAGTTTTGGCTGTCTCAACATTCAATGTTTCATTTTTTCCCTAGTGCTTCAAACATATGTAGTCATTTCCCCCTTGTACACTCATTTCCAAATAACCCTAACATTTCTCCTCCATCCCTTCATGTTGCATATTAATCTTGAGACAGGGCGCCAAGGAACATGAAGCGCTCCGCCGAGATGCTGGCTAGGGCACCGGGCGTGCAGGCCAAGCTGAGGGGGTGGGCGTGTCTTCGAGTGCTCCCTGTTCATGAGCGTGATGCCTTTTCTCCAGTTAGATTTTATAGTTGCCTTCATAGTCTTTACCGATTTCGTTTTAGGGTAATTCCTGGGTACTTAAGGGTTTCTGTTATTCCTAAGCATGGCCTTTTTATGACATTTTCTGTTTGGTTTCATGCGATACAGTCAAGTTACTGATTTCCACATCAACTTGGTTACATCTTTATTTGCCAGTAATGCCAGTTTTGCAATCTGATACTGCAAGGAGGTATCGTGTTGTATTCTTTACTTTAATGGTAAAGCTCCTATTTTTAATATCAAATGAAAATGTTTGCTGTCAGGTTCTGATAAATAACATTTATCAAGCTATTTATGAATTATGGAGGGGAATTATGAGTGAGTGGTGTTACTTTATTGTATATTCTCCAACATCTATTGATTTTTTTATTTTTGTTTTTTTTAAGAAATTCGTTCACCCAAAGCAAAACAAAAGGAACAAAATAGAAGTAGACTAAGACCCCGAGAAGGGCCTAGTGGTTACCAAAGGGGAGGGAGACAGGGATTAAAGTCACAATAGTTTGCAGTTACAATATAGGTAGGTCACGGAGATGGTAGTACAGTATGGAGAATACAATTAATGACTCTGTAACATCTTACTATGTTGATAGACAGGGACCACAATGGAGGGGGTGAGGACTTGGTGATTTGGGTGAGTGTTAAACCATTGTGTTATGTATTTGAAACCATCAGAAGACTATTTCAGTACTTTAATTAAAAAAAAAATCAAATGAGAAAAAAAATCTGTTTATCTCAGCAAATTCTGGATATTTATTAATGTGCAGCCAGCTCTGCATTCCTAGGCTAAATCTTACTTTTTTCATGATGTATAATTATTTTAATATGACACAAAAGGTTTTACTGTGGCAGTATTTTATTGAGGTTTTTGTACCCATGTTCAAATAAGACTGGCTTATTTTCTAAACTGGCGCTAGCCTTTTTGGTTTTTGAAGTCAGGGTTACCTTCTGTGTTGTTATTTTTGAAATGTAGCTCAGTCAGGACGTAGTGAGCCTTAACAATTTGAGAACTTATCTTTTTATTGAGTTGTTAGGAATCACAAATTTGAGTTGTACTCTTACCATGTGCCAGACTCATAGCTGCTTTTTTTTTTTTTTTTACATGCATCAATTCTCACAATAACTCTTTAAGTACTATTATTATCCTCATTTTTAGGTTGACAAAAACAAGGCACATCAGGTGAGGTAACTGGCCAAGGTCTCATAGTGAGACTAGAGCTGACTGGCTCAGGACAGAAACGCCTTCGTGCGAATGACACATTCAGTAGATATTACCCATTATGTGTATTATCTAGGCTTAAACATGTATTAGTATAGAGTTATAAACAGGCCATCTCCCTTAGAATATTTCTATTTTTAACCTTTTATTATAAAAAATATCAAACACAAAAGTACAGTAACATGCATGTAGCCTTCATCTGTGAGTTGTTTACAGTAATCACCAGTTCATGTCCAATCTTTGTCTCATCTCTACTTCTTCCCCCATTTGAAGCAAATCCCAGGTATTTAATACTTCAGTATAAAACTCTACAAGAAAGACTTAAGAAAATGATAATTCTCAAATGTTTTTAAAGTAACAACAGATACATAGCATTTTTTCTTCACCATTTCCCAAAGTTGTATCTACTCTATGAACCCATTGCTGTTTTCTTTTAGTTACTTGGACTTTTTTTGTATTTATCTGGTTCTTTTTTGGTTTCTTGAGTCGAATGGCTTGTTTTTAATCTTTTTTCAGTATATGCAGTTTAGGCAATAATTTTTTGTGAGTGTGATTCTGCTACATCCTATCAGGTTTTGAAATGTAGTGACTTCATCATCATTTAGTTTTTTTTTGATTTTGACATCATAAATATACAATTACTTGAACAACCTTACGGTTACTAGACTCCCCCCATTATCGTCACTGTCCATCAGTGTAGTAAGATGCTATAGAATCACTACTTGTCTTCTCTGTATATACTGCCTTTCCCATGTCCCTCTGCCCCCTACATTATGTGTGCTAATCGTAATGCCCCATTTTCCCCCTTATCTCTCCCTTCCCACCCACCCTCCCCTGTCCCTTTCCCTTTGGTAACTGTTTGTTAGTCCATTCTTGGGTTCTGTGAGTCTGCTGCTGTTTTGTTCCTTCAGTTTTTTCTTTGTTGTTATACTCCATAGATAAGTGAAATCATTTGGTACTTGTCTTTCTCTGCCTGGCTTATTTTACTGAGCATAATACCCTCTAGCTCCGTCCAAGTTGTTGCAAATGGTAGGATCTGTTTTCTTCTTATGGCTGAGTAGTATTCCATTGTGTATAATATGTACCACATCTTCTTTATCCATTCATCTACTGATGGACACTTAGGGTTGCTTCCATTTCTTGGCTATTGTAAATAGTGCTGAGGTAAACATAGGAGTGCATCTGTCTTTTTCAAACTGGGCTGCTGCATTCTTAGGGTAAATTCCTAGGAATGGAATTCCTGGGTCAAATGGTATCTCTATGTTTAGTTTTTTGAGGAACCTCCGTACTGTTTTCCACAATGGTTGAACTAGTTTACATTCCCACCAGCAGTGTAGGAGGGTTCCCCTTTCTCCACAACCTCACCAACATTTGTTGTTGTTTATCTTTTGGATGTTGGCCATCCTAACTGGTGGTGTGAGGTGATATCTCATTGTGGTTTTAATTTGCATTTCTCTGATGATTAGCAATGTGGAGCATCTTTTCATGTGCCTATTGGCCATCTGAATTTCTTCTTTGGAGAAGTGTCTGTTCAGCTCCTCTGCCATCATCATTTAGTTTTAAGCATTTCATAATTTGTTTTCATTACCTTTTAACTCATGAATTATCTAAATTATAGATGTAAGGATTTTAGTGTTTAGGGATAAGGATTTGGGGTCACACTTCATTCTTGGTTTTCTAATATTAATGCAGTGTGATGAATGTGGTGGCCTTGGATGCTATGTTTTGGGAATGTATTGAAATCCCACTTATGGTCAGTTGGTAAATAAACCATTTGTGTTGAACAGACTATATGGTTTTGCCATACAGTATGTGTGGGGGACATACTTTTATATATTATTATTATTAGATCGGCCTTGCTAATTGTAGTGTTCAAATCTCTCTGAATGTTACTCAAATATATCATGATCCTTCAGTTTAAGAATTCAGCCTTTTATTCAGTTCTTAGAAAAATCTCAACCATTGTTTTTTACACTTTAATGTCTGTTGTCTCTCCATGGATCACCTCTCAGGTGTTAGAACTTATGTGTCTAGCTTCCATAACTGAGTTTGATTTCCATTTCTTAGACTCTAATTTGTCCCTGTTTCGTAATACATGTTTTTATTCACACAGTCTCCCTCTAACTCTCTGAGCATAATTTAAGATCCTGTTGTCACTGCTTTACTAACTTGGATTTGTTGGATTTTTTTTTTGTTCTTGTTCATTATGTTGTCTTTCTTCAGATTCTAAGTTATATGGAGTTTACCTTCTCAGTTTAGTATGGCTAGGTTTTGTTTTGTTTTTTCAATCATTTGTACTGATATTTTTCAATAGAAGAATTTAGTCTTTGCTTAATCTATTCTAGGGAAAATGTAAGACTCAGGGGGATCTCTGTTTTTTCCTTTGGTTAAATCTACCCATAGTCATTCCGATAGAAAATTCAGTATATAAAAGACAATATGTTATTATGCCTCACATACTCCATGTATTACTCTGGCCTTCTTTCCTATACTTAGCCTCTCTTAACTAAGTATCTTCATTAAAAGGAAGTACCTACACAATAAGATTTTTAACATGACTAGAAACTAAGTCAAGTCACTCAAATACACAGACTATTTTAAGTGTCTTCTACATGCCAAGCATTATAATGAAAAAAAGAAAAGTAAGTCATTCTCTTGCAGAAGTTTAGGAATTAAGTAGGATTAAAGGATGTTTGTTAAGTTCATGGATTTGCACTTAAAACTACAGGGACTTGGTGAAAAATATAAGAGTAACATTCATTGGCCTTGGTAGTTTGCCACTTTCCCAAAAGGCACCGTTGAGAGCAATGCTCTATAAGTAGTGCTGTTAAGAAAAAACAACATATTTTCACCCTTCCCTGCCTATATCTCAAAGAAATATTTCTAGTGTGCAGTAATGTTTTTAAGTGCTTTATCTATAATCTTAAAGCACATTGGGGTTCCTTGTATCATCAGTGTAAATATCTACACTCATTACATTTCTTACTTCTTCATCTAATAACACCATTAATAGATAGGGCCTTTGCTTTTCAGATACTTGAAAAATCAGAACACAGAATGCAATGCAGAGTTTATAACCCTGTCACTGTGTAGGGCAGTGAAGGAAAACAAGAGTTAAAGCTTGACTATGTACAAATCGTGGGGAATAATGGCAACACAAAAGAATAGTTATAACATGAGAAACAGGATTGGCATTTGAAAGGACATAATGTTTATTGATGATTTTGAGGACCAGCTCTTGGATAAGTAAAAGAGAGCTGCTTTTGAAACGTGTACTGATTGAAAGGCCTCTCTGGGGAGCAGTAATTGCAGGGCCAAGGTGGCCGACAGGAAGCAGTTCAGTGGGGGGCTGGGATGACAGCTGGGAAAGGTGGACTTCCACCACACTGGAAGAGGATTTGAAAAGTGCGCTGGAAGCTGGGTCACATCGATAAGACTTGGTGGCCAGTAGATGTGGAGGCGAGGAGGCAGCACACAGAAGATCTGATGTATTCCTGGTTTGTATACGTAAGGGGACAGCAGGCTGGGAAGAGGAGCTTGGTTTCAGGCATGGTAACTTTGAGGTGGTTGTAGGCCCTCACGAAGGGATATTTCAGAGGTGAGAAAAGTAGGCGAGATGGAAACTGAACAGTAACTGGTAGTAAGAGTACTGCACTGGGCCTAGCACCTGTCCACAAAAATTCAAGTTTGTTCTTGCGTAAATGTGGAAAAATAACTTCCATGGAATCAGCATCTCCTAAAATAGTGGCTCAACGATGAACACATTTGTTCAGTTAGCTTTCAGTCCAGCTCACCTGTATGATATGTGCTGCCAATCCCTTAGATTAGGATTGATTTATTCTTCCTTATTTAGGTCTAAGAACAAGCTACATTTGATTAATTCCAAAGGTGACATATTCATGTGGCATAAGTCAAAATATCGCTGAATGAGACAATATACTCAATAATTGAATATAGAAACTCAATTCAAACAGTTTCATTTAGGTTGTTTGACTCGTTTTTTTCTTTCCATTTTCCCTCACCATGAACTAAGTATGTGTAAGATTAGCTTGCATGACGGACTCCAGGACAAAATTCCTTAGAGTACTATCGTAACAGCAGAATCACTCAGAGAACTGGGCAGCACCGTTAGGATTCAGTCTGAATTGATAAAAGCTGGTAAAACCAGCTTATTTGGAGAGCTAATCCATGCTAGGGAAGAAAACTCTAGCAGCAGCCCTAACTGGATGCAGGACCTGCACACCCTAATGCTTCAGACACGAGGCGCCTCACCAGTGCCCCAGGCCGGCTGTGCTCTTTCAGCAGCGCAGGTGCTTGTCACATTTTCAGGCATCTAACTTAGTGGTTTTGACTGTAATGCTCTCCTAATCTTCACTTTAAATCTAATTAAGAGTCAGCCAACATTTGGAAGTAGTCACTAATCCTAAAGAAGACCACAAAACTCTTTGGCAGCAACCAATAATGTGATTACTTCAAGTAGGAGGGAACTGTGGTGTAAGGTCAAGTCTGTATTCACTTCCTTTACAGATTAGTTCAAGGAAAATCAAAGACTTGACAATAAGGTTTACTTGCAAATGTATTATTAATATCTATGCTTCTAGAGTACCTTGTGATCTAATAAACACAATGGATGCACTGAGAATTTGCTGGCCACAGGAGCTACCTTGGAACTAAAAGAGAAACGAGGATGTGTCATTGGTGACATACTGGCTAAAGGTTTGTGCAATTTCAGAGAGTCTGGGGTTACACAAGTAGTCAGTTCTAGCCCTGAAATTTGACTGCTGTGACCCTTTCTCTCTTACTAAAGCAAAAAGGGTTGAGTTTGAACACTAGTTGGACACTTAGTAGGTGGGAGACCAGCAATAACTTACTTGTTCTCATTGAGATTCAAATCCTTTACCTTTAAATCCCCAAATACAGTATTTTAAATCTCAAAACACATTGTAGACTCCGGTAACTTTTTCACTACTAATCAACTCAACCATATTTAAAAGGTTTTCTTGCCTAGTGTTTGCTGAAATTCAGTGTAGGGTTTTTAAAATAAATGTAACCTTTAATAGAAAACCTTGGAAGGCATGCAAGTCTAATTTTAGTAGTTTGACCTTCCTAGAACATATACTCCAGGAGAACCTGATGCCTTGGAAGGGTTTGATGTATCAAAATGCAAACAGACCCACAAGTTGTAGAAGTAAGACAGAATTATCATAGGCTGAGAGAAGGAAGAGGTTTTTAAAATCCATTTTTCCTCTCCACTAGTCTAACAATTTTAAAATTAAGAAACAGATACATACTCATCGTGAACAATGGTGGGGCCATCCCTTGTTAAGGCCTCTTCCTTGATGACATTGATAAGTTCAAAGGTACTGCTTATGGGGGCATCTGGGTTAGGCCACTTGGGACACTGAAAGTGCCGAACTTCTAGAACATAGTCATCCTGTAACCAACACAACGTGAGTCATATCCCATCCTTTAGTTCATTATATCTATAATGGTAAGAACTTGCTCCTGAGAAAGGATGTATTATGGATAACTGAAGAATGTCAATTAATCAAACTGGCTGGTAAGAAAAATACTAGGGATGTCTGCCTGCCATTGAAAAATGGGCAGAGGATGATAGTGAAATCGTGGAATCCTATTTTGTGTGCAAGTAACAATAAAACTTCAAGTTGCAGTGATTATAAGAGACTTTATATGCTCCTCTATCTTATCTACAAAATTAAGGGGAAAAAAGATAAAGAAGGGTTTAGGACATCATCATTTAAATTACTAACATAAGATGGTTCCCCTCTTATCTACTCCATAAGAGGGCAGTTATTAAATGTCAAAATATTGTTTACCCAAAAAAGTCTCGATATTATTATCTGTGCAACACATTGCAAGGTTTGCATTTCTGATGACAAAATATTGAGCTCTGATGTATTGTTTTTATTAGTATGTATGCATGCTCAGTTACATTTCATCTCTCCAGCTGGAAAAAGCAAATATTTGAAGGAAGAAAAAAGGAAAGTATACATGTTTAAAATATTCATATACAACTCTAGGCCTGTCTTGGGGGGGAGGTAAATTACTTCACTGTGATTCAGAAGGAAGGCCCAGGTATGACTGTTACTGAGGATCAGAGGGTTAGGTTACCTGTGTCGCTTCCAGGATAAAGTCATGGATGATAATTTGCTCTTCATTAGAGAGGCACAGTCTGTCTTTGCTGATAAGGGTGACGGTAAAGGCCTCACAGTTCATGGATTCTTCTCGACTTGGCCAGTATACAAACTCATCTTCTGCCTATAGGAAAAAACAACAAAAACCTCTGATGTGCTGTCAAACATTTGTTAATGATTTTTTGTGCAAAATGGTTTCTTAAGCTTGTCATTTCCCATACCTTTCAACTCATCTTTAAATTGGGTTCATACAAGTCTATCCCCGTGTAATCATTCCATGTTCAATTGTAAAATATACTTGATAACAATCATGTGCTAGCATCCTTTACCCATGTCATTCTAACAACCAAAAATGCTCCCTCTATAGGGGATGCATTGCCTCTAGTTGAAAAATGTCCTGTAATGTAATTATCAGAGTGAGTAAGGAGACAGGACCTAAACCAGTTAATGTTAATCTGTTATTTCACAACAGCTTAAGCAACTAAGACATGCTAATTATTTCCTATGGATTATGCTAATTATAGTTCTACAGTTGGTTAGGATTTTGCAAAGGACTTTAATCAACATTATCTTAATAACTTTTACAATATAAAATGTAAGGGATTTTTATTATCTTTACAGGTGAAGACACCAAGGCTCAGAGAGATCCATGTGTTGTCTGCAGTCACACTAATGAACGGTAAGGGACAGAACCTTTCTGGGAAGAGACTGTCCACAGGTGAGCATGTTGGTGGAGTATAAGGTGCTCTTTAAAAAAAGTTGTTGTCAATGTTGGATTCAAAGGGGGATAACAAAGAGTCTTTCCGTCTTGAATCAGGCAAGCTTTTTAAATGTTCGTTTATTTTTAGATTATGGAGGACTAAGAAAAGAAAAAGCTAATAATTGCATTAGGTTGGAAATTACGTCCCCCCACCTCTTTTCCTAATCATTTTCAAATGGAAAACTAGTTTACCTGTAATATATACATTTCTAAGGGCATTTTCCTGAAAATGCTTAGATACTACTAATGACGTCAGAAAGAAGTGTCAGAATTAATTCTGAATAATGTTCAAAACAGAGGTTTTGTTTAGTTACATTGTTGCATTAGAAATGAGCCAAGAGTCCAATTAAGACTTGTCACCCTTTCAAGTTTCAATAAAGTTTATTGCCAAGTACATTTTTATTTTAAAAGCTCAGCATAAGGGGAAACAGATTATGATTGGGTTTACTCAGTACAAAGGACTCTGTGACCGTCATGGGTTTAATACATTTTGTCCAAGGAATGGGAAATAGGTCCTTTTTAACAGATAGTAAAGACATAAGGTTATGGTGGACAAGACTTAAAAATTTAACCAGTATATGTAGATTAAGCGCGGATTTAGGGTTGGATGTAATCCTGAATCTATCTGAGCCTTAATTTCCATATCTGAAAAACGGGAATGTTAAAATTGCATACACCAAAGACATGAGCATGAGTAGTAAATTACCAAATTGGCCTTCTGACTGCCAAAGGGGACTTGAGTGATGGGGAAGAAAGGCAGACAAACTTTTGAACACAGATTGGGTGAACTAGGGAGTAACTGGTCATCTAGAAAGATGTTTTTAAAATGTTACTTGAAGTCAGTAGGACTCTGGCTTCTTTGTTATTTTGTTCACAAATATGTTAACAATGTCCAGAGAGGCCTAGGTATTTATAAAACTGATGGCTGGGTGAGGAACCAGTGACTTTTGACCCTGAAACCGAGAGTGCAGACACACACGACTCCACCCTTGCCTCCTTGCTGCTTGCAGAACATGGACTGACTTATTTGGTCCAGTCCCCCCAGTTTCCCCACACAAATGAGTTTGTGGGTAGATGGTTTTGGTGACTGTCCTCTGTTAAGTGACAGTAACAAAATACTGACTCATGCAACATGCCTCCAATCCCCACGCCAAACAGAATAGACCCCAATTGCCAGCTAATTTGAAAATTTGCACGCCAGTTTTTAGCTTAAGATTCTCAACTTCGTTGCCATTCTGTCATGCAGAGGCAGTCTTAGTATTCTGAAGCTGGAGCAAAATGCGACAAAGAGAAGTTCCCGCTGACTGGGCACACAGTCAAACGCATGTCATCAAGCCTCTTATAATCTGACACTCATAGAGGCAGGGCATCATTGTGTTTTGTTTTCACTTTGAAGACCCAACTGATTCTGAAACTTAAGAATGCAACAAACTCTTAAGTACAAACATTTAACTTTTCAAAACTTTCTCACTCTTCTGCATAGTCAAGACACCTCAACAGGGACGGGCTAAAGGGAGGAGAAAGAGAAAGTGGTAGCTTAGTGAAGGTCTTAAGAAGGGACTTGAAGTTAGAACAAACTACCCTTTCATTATCTCCTTCCCTGTAATGGCTCTGACTTGCCTATAGAGCTGGAGGGGGAATAATGATACATATTAGTAGTTTTGATAGGATTTTTTTTGGTGGCAATAGGGGGACTGGGAAACATGTCTATGTTGTTGGGTGGTACAAATTATCAGAGCCCAATGCTTTAAGGTTCAAATCCTGGTTCTGATGATGATAGCACTATGTCATACAGGTGTAGAGAGGAGTGAGTGAGTTAATGCATGTGGAGGAAATACAGATTTAAATGTAGTTGCCGTATGGCACTTTTGGAACACAGCAGCAACTAAGAGGTTGGGTTAAGGACATACATTACAAAGACCTTTTTCACAGCCTACTGCGCTGCCATGTACAGTACAAAGTGTGTGTGTGTATGTGGTGGGAGCGAGATCAGCAGCAGAGAATCAAGAATGGAACTGACAGGGCAGGAACTGTGAGCCTATGAAAGACCCAGAGGTGAGGAGCCTGACTCCCGTCTGCCCAGCACAGACACACTATAGCCCCGTGGCAGGTACCAACGTCATGGCGGCTCACAGCCTCCCAGCAGATGTGCTTCACTCACCAAGCTCTGGTTGTCTGGCAGCATGACAATGATCTGCGCGTTATGATCCCAGATCATTCGCCAGAAATCTTTCGTAGTATGTGGCAGAGGGTGCTGGGTTATAATAAATTCATTACTCCTGTAATAGCCCTGTGGGTAGGAAGACGAAAAATCAGCCATTATGAATGTTGGTTCTAATTTTGTGGTAACAAAATATGTTCATGAAATAACACAGCATTGTTTTGACCACACTTAAATAACTGAAAAAGACATTCAGTAGATCTGGCTAATTTTTAGGTGTACTTCTAACATGTGAAGACAATTTTTTCTCCACATGCAAAATCTATTCAAACAATAGATGGGTGAAATTAACAATAAAATCAATTCCTTAACAAGCATTTTTAAGTACTTTTGTATCCCCATGGATAAGCTGTCTTTTGTTAGGGGTTTCCAGAAACAGAAATCTGTAATTTTCATATTAACACATTGAGAAATTATTTGAAAAAATGGCGTCAGTCACATAGTGGTATCTGCTCTTTAGCACCTTTCAGTTTAATTGGCTTTATTTATAATTAACTGTTGACTCTCACCATGATGTAAGAAGCATTAATGTAATCTGTTCCTTTCATTCCAGGCAGCGGTGCAAGACCCACTCGAGCACGCTCAGCTATCATATGGAAAAAGCAAAAACACCACATTCACCTTATTATGCGCGCACAACCAGCAGCCCTTTCTGACATTTACTTGGTGAGCAAAACATGCCCCTGGCTCCACTTGCTTTTTAAGACTTACCTCTGTTTTAACTGAGCTAGTGTGTTACCAGCTAAGTCAGAATGTAAAATGAAATTTTGCTGCACATTCCCAGAAGGCCACACACGTTATAGGAGTAAATTGTTACTGTGGGGCAGGGTTTTTGCAGTAGATCGCTAAGAAATATGACTCAGAGGGTCTTTTAGACCATTTTTGGCCCTGGTTTGATATTCCTACAGTTCTGCCAGCATTCTGTATTTGATCTTTTGCCACCCCCTTGTCCACTTCTTTCTCCTGTAAGGGCTGAGAAAGCAGGGGCCTTTTTCAGTAGAGACTCTGCAGTGAGCGCCATGCCTGTGGCCACAGCACCCATCCTCTGGTGTGCCCTGAGTTACTTCTACAAAGGTCCTGCCTTTCAACAGTGCCTTGATCCCAAAAGCCAGAATAATTTAATGACATATTTCAGTTGTACAGATTATTTCTGGACTCTAAGTCTTAAAGTAGTGTTAATGCCACAGTAGTAACGGCTTTATTTATTTATTTTTTTGTTAAGATATGGTAGAAGTAACATAATTCTTGAATTTCAAGGTGGACAGAAGCTAGTTTTCACGTTACACAGACGCAGCGACTTGCTGACATGACAGCCACCCTCCAAACTATCCTGGTCGTCCTGAGTGGGACTTGCCCCTTGGTGGTATTTGCCTCTTTACGTAATACATAAAATGCATTGAAAAATACTAACACATTCAACCAAGTCAAACTGATTTTAAGATCTTACATGGCACAACTGAGGAGTTCCTGTTCTTCTCTTTGTTACACTCCTTCTGAGCACTAAAGCACTCCACGTATTTCGCGTTACACTGTGTGACCAGCTGAAAGAAAGGCAACAGGTTAGTCTTCCTTCCAAGGCCTTCGCTAAGTCACTGTGATAATCGTTACTTTGTGCACCTCAAACTCAGACAATGTTATATATCAGTTGTAGCTTTATAAAGCTGGAAAAAACACAAGAAAAAGTAAAGGTATGACATGCATAGCATTTGCTTGATGACCTGGCAGAAATACCAATAATCAGATTACTGATGGAAAACCAAAAAAACACTATACCCCAAATAACACTTTTCTTTTAGTAGCAGCACTTCTCATAATTACTTTGTTTTCTGTATGACTGTCTTATTTCTACTAGCAGGCCTTAGGCTCCTGGATTGCAAGTACTATGTGAACAGTAGCTATATAGTGAATCAATGTGGATTGTCTATAATTCCTCACAGGCACACGAGATTCATATGGGTGTATACTAGAAAAGATTGCTTCAGGGTAATGAGAGCTAATGATGTTTTTTGAACATAAAGAGCTTACCAGTTTGTCAGTAAATTTCTGATGACCTGGACTGACGTAGTTCTAAGGCCACTGTAAACAGCCCAGTAGTTTGTGGTGGTTGTTCCTACTGAGATAGCTAGGTTGAACCATTTTGTCAATTTTGTTTTTTATTTTTGGATGTACCTTAATGGAGTCTGTGTGGGAGCGATCTCTTCAATGCTTGAATACTACTGTCAAGGGCCCTGGATATAGTTTTCATGTTTCTGATTCTTGTTTCCTTCTAGTTAAGTGCTTAGTGCTATAAAAGAACCAACTGCCTGGTCTCCAATGGAATGAACTGGTATCTTTGATGAATTTTTTTTTATATGTGTTAAAAAAAAAAAGAATTTAAGAAATGTTTGCACTGTTTTTTTAAGAATTAAACATTTAAAGTGAGACACTATGTTCTCACTATTAATTACCTCAAATGGTTTTGAGAGTAGTTAGGATGTTACAAAAGAGGCAGACATTTAAAATGCCTGAACTCAGCAAAATTAATCTATATTTCATTTTATATCACTTACAGTAAGTTGGCAGTCTAATTTCCTTAGCTAAGATGCAGGTGAAGGTTTCAAAGTCTATAGAAAAGTTTTATCGTGAAAACTAAAACTGCCCAGATTCATCTCATTCTTTACATTTTTGACAGAAAATCATAAATTAGAACAGTGTGCAAAAGGGAAGAGACTAATAAATAGGAAAGCACTTAGTTGTTG